CTTCATTTGTTGAAGTTGAGTGATAGTCCTCTCTTTTTCATCTTTAAGATTCCCAATCTTCCTTAAAATACTCGATCCATCTAAGAACTGTTGTCTTTACATGGTGGCTATGGGCCATGGAGTCCTTTCCAACTCATAGTGACCCTGTACAGGGTTTCCAAGGCTATAAATCTTTATGGGAGCAGAAAGCTTCATCTTTCCCCCACGAAACAGCTGGTAGTTTCGAACTGCTGACCTTGCGGTTCACAGCCCGATTCGTAACCACTATGCTACCAGAGCTCCTTATAGAGAGAAGAAAATGAAAGACTCATGGAAACAATTAGTCCAGTGGACTAACGGACCATTATGAATATCAGTGTTCACAACCCTGAAACCAGAAAAACTAGATGGTGCCCAGCTACCATGACTAACTGGTCTGAAAGGTCTTGGATAAAGTTGGAAAACAATGTGAAACAAAACTCAAAATCATAAAAAGTATAAACCAGGGCTATTGATCAGCTAGAGACTAGTGGATCACCCCTACGCCCAAGACTATGACCCTTAGTCATTCTTCAGGTCTGGAAATGAACCAGGGCTCAATTTTCAGTCAAACAGCAGGCAAGTCTATTTGGAGAACACCACCACTAAGGAAGTATATACATCTTAGAATAATCAACCATTTGAAATTAAAAGCACAGCATTTACCCTAGGACAAAGTTCAGAAGGGTTAAGAAAGGAGTAGGAATGGAAAGAGGAAACGCAGGGGGCAAGTGGGATAAATGCTGTGATATTGGGGATTGCACTCAATAAGCTAAAACACAATTTGGATGAATTGATGAATGAAACACTGACCTGCTCAGTAAATCTTCACTCAATAAAGTAAAAATAAAGACAGGTTTTAAAATACGATTACAGCCACAAAAACCCCACAAAGCTATTCTACTCCATCCTAGTCTGTCTTCAACTTTACAGGGTTGATATGAGTTAGCATCAACTCGATGGCAGTGGATTTAGAAATAAAATAAAAACTAAAAGCTGTTGTTTTATGTGGTAACATTCATGTAAACTTGTTGCAAAGTGTCAATGATTTGAAAAGATATCTAGTTTTGTTGAAAATTTGATCTTAGGCATGATCTCAAAGTCTTTTTTGCCCATAGCACAAGTATCTGTCTTAGGCTGGGTTTTCTAGAGAAGCAAAACCAGTGAAGCATATATATGTATGTACAGAAAGAAGTTTATTATCAAGCAAATGGCTTATAATTGCAGAGTCCTCAGCAGACAAGAGAGAAAGAGCCTTTCCTATGTGTCCATTATATTTGGAACAGGCCACACCTTAAGGAAGCATCCCTTCAAATTGATTGGCTGCTCATAGCCACTCAACATAAAGTTAACTATTCCTGTGTTAGGTTTTATCACCATGGGAATAAGCACACCTTAACTGCTAAACCATGGGAATCCTGGTCTAGTCAAGTTGACACTGAATCCTAACTATCACAGTCGCCTTTCTTTTGAGGGTACTTTAAGACAGGTGTATTACAGAAAGAATTATCTGCAGCCATCCACTAATTGCAGAGACATGCTGAAACAAGTTTTGTTTGTAAGAAACGTGTACCTGTATGAACAGGGATTCTAGTAGCAGTATTATTTTACTTAACCTCACATAAACATCTTACATAACCAAGACTCTTCAACCAGAGCACAATCTGATCTAAAAAGTCTTTGAGAGAAAAATGATTAATGCCACTATACTTGTTTGGCCAATTATGGCCTTAGGTAAATCCCTCGAATCTTGGTGCTCTAAACCTTTACCCAACATGTATCTTCAAATATTGTGGTGCCTACTTTGACAACTCTTTGTTTTGAATTCTAGTCAACTTATTCAGAATAAAGTCAGAACACAATTTTTTTAATTATGCAGAAAGGATTTCTATGCCTCTACCAAGGATCCAGTTACTCAGATTCATAACAAAACACAATCCTAGTATGACAGAAGGAATCCAATAACTCTATTCAATTATGCACTTCTAATGGGAAAACAGCATGTATGTAAATTATCTCTCAATAAATCTGCCAATATATATATATATATTGCTTATTAATGGCACAAGAAAAAAAACCGACACCATTTTGTCCACTGTCATTGCTATCTAACAGGTAAAGAGTAGGAAAGATGTTCATTCAGAATAAATTATAGCCCTCCTAGCAAGAAACAGTTGGTTTCTACACAGTGTAGAAGAGATAAGTTCTGAAAACAAAAAGATGAAATGAACTTCAGTAAAAAAAAATTATGATTGGTGAAATTTTATTGTATATAAACTACTTATCAATAAATATTTTTAATTATATGAAAAATTTTAAATCATTACTTCAAAACCAAAATCAGGGAGTAATTCACCCAATCCCCAACTAGAATTATTCTATTGATTGGGAAAAATAAGTGACCATTTTAGTTTTAAGAGAAATCTTGGGGATACTATGTGGTGTGGGGGGGGGGTGTTTATGAATCAATAAATGTAAAATTGTTGGCCTAATTGGAAATTAATAACGTTCGGTTTTGGTAAAATCAATAGCTGCTCACTGGCACAAGCTCAAATACTATAAACAAAGAAGTTTTAAGCCATCATTTTTCTGAGAAAAAAAATTGTGTGGGGCAAGTCCTGGTGGGAGTGGCAGCCGGTATGGAGGAGCTGCCTGGACCTTCTTGACGAGGGATTTTGAGGTGCTTCTCTCTATGTGTAGTTGAGGGATTTTGAGGTGCTTCTCTCACCCATGTGTAGTTGAAGGATTTTGAGGTGCCTTTCTCTCCCATGTGTAGTTGAGGGATTTTGAGGTGCTTCTCTCTCTCTTATGTGTACTTGATAGTTTGGGTGGTGGAGAGATGACTGACAGTCTGAAAACATTTCTCCAGGACTTTGCCAGGGGAATCAAGGACTCCATCAGGGGTATTTGTACCATCTCAGAGTGGTCTGCTCAAATACAGCAAAATAGAAGGAGGAACAGCATCCAAGAAGAGCAAGTAGTGTCCTGGCGCAGAGGAGAGCCCCTTGTTGGCTTGGAATGGAGGAGTATGCTGGTTGATTCTCCTCTGGTTTTGTTGTTAAGTGCCATCAAATCCTTTCTGACTCATAGTGAGCCTGTATAGGGTTTCCAAGGAGCAACTGGTGAGTCTAAACTGCCACCTTCCAGTTCAAAACCTATAATGCCATACCAGGACTTTAGTTTTACCAAGTGTTTACTCCTGTGTTTCAGCCAGCAACAGCATAAATTATTGGTGATCCATCACTACCTGGGGATGTTTAGCTCTGGCTGGAATTTTCCTCACATCAATTTTCAGGGTTCTTAGGCCACTCCCCACCTCTAATCCTGTTTGTGTCAATGCCATTTGGTTCCAAGATATAGTTGATCTGGCATTTGAGGAAGTAGGGGGGATGCCTCACCCATTCCCCTGGTATCGGAAAATAATTGCTAATATATTCTTCAACCTTTTGCTGCGGGCACATTTCCTTCTTCACAGGATGTTTGTTGTGTGTCTTCCCCATCTATCTGTGATCGGGTTGTTAGTTTATGTCCCTCCTTTATCCACTAGACTGCTTTGAATATCGCTGGTCCAATAAGAGAATTGAAGTGTAACAGTAATGATTGAACATAGAAAGGAATTGTCAGACTGCTTTGGGTTTAGTTTGCCCTTGACTTTCCTTACAGCGATGCTGTCCTCCCACATTATCAGTGGCTGCCTCTTCTCCATCCTCTTTCCTTTGCTCATTTTTAGCATCAAAGAAGCAAGGATACCAAGCAAGACATACCTTTTTCAGTTGCACCTCTTGGCCTTTTTGGCCCTGTTAAGCAACAGATTCTTCCACAAGAGAAGTTCCCCAACTTATGTAGTCATTGACTTCAGCACTTCCACAAGAAATTGAGGAAAGGATGTGGCATCTCTTTTCCCTATTCACTTCCTGCTACCCAGGGAAGGCAGGGCACACTCTGCCAAGATACCCTTCTCTCTGAGGAACTGGAATTTTGTCTCTGGCACACTTGGACAGAATCTTCCTGACACCAATATCATATGGATTTTTAACACAATGAGTCTGAAAGGACCACAGGTTTTTCTATAGATATTGTCTATAGCATTTGCCAGACCTTGTGCCTGGGCTGACTTGAATGCTTTGTTTCCCTGTACCAGTTACCCTCCTGCCTCCTCTTCTGCCTTCTATCCTTGGACGAATGGGTTTTTTAAATCCATTTGTAACTGCTGCAATTTGTGGACTTTTTTGTTTTTCTGTGAAGTACATTTGAGTCCATTGGATGTGGCAAGTGAAGGAGTATTTCAATTATTCATAGTCACTCCCTTTATAATTAACACTGTCTTGGTTTTTGTTACATAAGTTATGTTTGTGTTTTTCTTGTTCGACTGCAAAAAAAAAAATAATAATAATTGGTCTGAAGATTTGCAACAGGAGGAAAGACCTCACAGCTAGATTGGTTGGGTTTTAAGGAATGATTTTCTTCTTGGTAGGGCCAGGGAGTGATGGCATTCTTCACTGATGCATGAAGTACACTAACTACGGGGGCGGGGGGGGTGGGGGGGGGGAGGAACCAGTTCTGGACCAATGAAATTACAACACAGAACGCTCAAAGAACCTAACCTTTTAAACTCTGGAGACCTGAAATGCACTGTTCATTGGCCATGGTTGAGTCTCTCTTGTGTTTCAAAGGACTATTGGGTACTGAAAATAGGAACTCAAGGGGTGAATTTATTAAACCCACTGAACCTGTGGGGAGAAATGTTTGAAAATTAGAAGTGTATCTTTAAAAAGGAACAATAACATAACAATCTTCATACACATTATAAAGATAATTTCCTGGTCAATGACGCCTCTATTTCTAGTAATAAAACATCCAGTGGGTTAGGAGGATTTCAGTTACAGTGTGTGGTAGCGGAATCTTGCCAATATCACTCCCTAGAACCACATAGGACCCACCCTACCCAGGGCTTTACAAACTCATGTCTGCTCTTCCCACAGGAGGACTATAACCAGCTGCGGCCGCTCTCCTATCCCAACACGGACGTGTTTTTGATTTGTTTCTCTGTTGTAAATCCTGCCTCTTACCACAATGTCCAGGAGGAATGGGTCCCGGAGCTGAAAGACTGCATGCCTCATGTGCCTTATGTCCTCATAGGGACCCAGGTTAAAACTCGGGGATGGTGGGGGTAGGGGGCAGGAAAGGGATGGAAAGGGGAGTGTTACAAAAACAAAACAAAAGACCCTATAGATACCTCATGACCTTCAAAACTTCATAGTCTTATCAAATACTATAAAAGAATATCCCCAAGATGCCATGCCAGAAGCATTCTCAGCCCGTACTTGAAAATACAAAAGAGCTATTTAATATAAAGCAGGGAGTTTTCATGTGGCCTTTAACAATCAAATGTTCAGCTTTAAAAAAAAAAAAAAA